GATACAGACACATGCGCGCACACCCACACACAGATACAGACACATGCACGCACACCCACACACAGATACACAGACACATGCGCGCGCACCCACACAGATACACAGACACGCGCGCACACAGATACACAGACGCGCGTGCGCGCACACACACACACAGATACACAGACATGCGCGCGCGCGCGCGCGCGCACACACACACACACACACAATTTACTTTACTAAACCTGGCTAAATTTTTTAAGGAGCACACTGTTCACCTTTTGAATTTTAACAAACTATTCCCAAACACCATACTGTTTCAAGCACCATACAAAACCTTATTTAAATTTTAAATAAACATTTTTGTTTGAAATTTAGTGGCATATTAGTTTAGATAGAATCATAGAATCCCTGCAGTGTGGAAGCAGGTCATTTGGCCCATCAAGTCCATATGACCCTCCAAAGAGCATCCCACCCAGACCCACCACCTACCCTATCTCTGCATTTCCCACCCTAGACACTGCGGGCAATTTAGCATAGCCAACTATCTAACCTGCACGTCTTTAGACTGTGGGAGGAAACCGGAGCACCCGGAGGAAACCCACGCAACCACGGGGAGAATGTGCAAACTCCACACAGATAGTCACTCGACAGTCAAATGGGTCATATGGACTTGATAGGCCAAATGATCTGCTTCCACACTGCAGGGATTCTATGATTCTATCTAAACTAATATGCCACTAAATTTCAAAGAAAAACAGTCAAATTTTTAAAATGCCTGATTAAGACACACACCTAGCAAATCTCAACTGATCCAGCAACATGGAATAAAACTGGCTATAATTATCCCAAGCTGGACACTCAAAGAAGTAACAAAGCTGATTAATTCTTTCTGCTCAAGACTGTGCAGCAGAAATGCAGCTCTGAACTAAATTCAATTCATTTTGATTCAGTTCTGAGGAAGGATCACTGGACCCAAAACATTAACTCTGATTTTTCTTCACAAATGCTGCTAGACCTGCTAAGGTTTTCCAGCAATTTCTGTTTTTGTGTGAATTCATTCTGGGCCTGGGGATTCTCTATCTACAGCGAATTCCTGGCCATTTGACAGACACAAAATATCTTTTGCTCTCAAAAATCTTTGATACTATACCTACAATGCTTAGATTGCTAACTGTAATGGAGACATCAACACAATAAATATTCCTATTTATTTTCCAGATTGAACGAATGCAGGGATGAATGATTTGGGATGAGAACAATGTCTTGTGAAATTTACTTCACAATAACATCTGGATTAATGGATGTTGAGCTGGAGTATGTAAGAATAGGCCAATCAGCATTGCAAACCTATTTGAGTAGTTAGTGTGTTTAAAAAAAAAGGTGTTGCAGTGTTTCCAAAGTAATTTTACATTCAGCAATTTAACATAATTCGGATGACTTTAACAAAATCTGCTGGTGGGGAGGAATGGGGATAGAGCTTGTTAAATCCAGGGTGCTGCCAACCTGTCACCCTTCTACCCAGCCTGCCACCTTTGCACCCAAGCGTACCTGAATGAACCAGCACCCGTACATCCAAAATGCTGCAGTGCTTTGATTTCTAATTAGCATCAACCCCAGAAGTGCCAGTTCAATTCTTGTCCTCTTCAATGGATATTTTAGCTAGGGAATCTGGTGGTGGATATAATTCAGTCCATTATATTTTATACTAGTGTCTCCTGCTGCAAATGCATTTGAAAAAGCAGAAAGCCATTCAGTTTTAACACAATACACTGAAGGTGATTAACTGCCTAATGTTCATTTTTTATATAAAAGATAGTGTTAAGTTCCAAGCCAGTGTTATTACCGGACATGTCAACACCCAGACTGAAATCTGGCTTGACAGAATTTTTTTTGGTTTTAACACTAACACATTAGCACACAATGTTTTTCACAATAAAACAGAAGTTTATTATACAAGCGCAATGAAGATAAAACAGAATGAACCAAATTATTTACACAGAGCACAAGTTTAAATAATTTGAAACACATAAAAATATAATCCCATTAATCCCAAAAACACTCCTTTATAGAACTCACATCAGAAGGATTTGCCTTCTTTCACCTCCATAGGTCTTTGTTTAACTGTAGTTCAACTCACAATTGTAAGAATCTGGTAGCTTCTTCCTGGATCCTTCATACACTGAAACTCTCTCAGGTTGAAACCATCCTTTCAGGGTTTTCCCAAATACCTCTGATCTGGAAAAATTACTAAACTCATGCTCAGATAATTTTTTTAAAACAAAATTATCAAAACTATCTTCTTCCTTTCTCAGAGCCAACATAAATATCTTCATTGCATTCCTAGTTGTGGGTGAATTGAATAGAAACAATTTATAACATGATCTAATCTAGCCATGACCTGCTGGTCTATTTTGCTCATCCTAATCTTGATAATCTTGGTTTCTACTGCAGGTTCTTGTAATCCTCAGAAGGTTGCTTTAAAACTTTAGTTTTTGCTGTATACATGCACTGTAAATAATGCTGTTATGCAATTCCCCACCTGTCATCCTTTGTTTAAAAGAGCCAGAGTATTCTGCTTTGCAATAAATTGTACAGAGCTGTGCCACTTTATTTTCTATAAATACAAAGTTCAAATATTGTGTATAATTTTACACTTTGCTGAGTGCTATGTAGTACTGTTTATACAAGTTGCTAAGAGATATCTATAACATTTTAAGACAAACCTATCGAAATAGTCTTTAATTGCTGTGAAATGTAAGCAGTAAGATATGTAATAGCAATGCACTAAACCCTGACAATCATAGTTACATTTATTATGCCAAAGAGGCCTAAACGTCAAGTGATTATTTTCACTGGTCAACAATATATGAAGGAGCAAAAATTTAAGGTGAAAAATAGAATTAAAGGGAGGTTAGACATGAGAAAAAATTTAGGATTGCCTTTGTTTTAACACAAATACTTTAAACAATCCATTAATTCTTAGGAAGACAGCTTGCTACTGGAGAAATATTAAAACTAATGTTGGTAATTAGAAGACTGTGACTCGAATCAGCCACATGCCCATTTCTGTGCTTCCATTTTCTATTGTTCTCTTAATTTACAATAGCAACAATGATCGTGCACGCTAATTTTCAGGACAGAAGTTCCCCTTACATCTTTAAGAGAGTTCTCTTTCATGAGATAATTCTAAATTCCTGATAACATTTTCTGTGTGCTTGTGAGGAATTTCCGGAATTTTACAGGCAAAACTTTGAAGAAACTCATGAAGTTATTATGCTTTCCTGTTAATTCCAGTGTAATAGGATACCGAGACAAGATAGTTATCAAGTGAAAACAAATGGATAGTGCTCCACTCGTTTGCCAGTTCTCTCATTTTTATTCAGCAAGAAACTGGAACGTCACGGGAGTAGACTTCACCATTCATTTGCTAAAAGGGAAAACATGCAAATTACTGGCTTGTCATATAGACTATCAATATTCATCAATGGCACTTTAGGAGCTTTACTACATGCGATAGTGTTATGGACAAAATGAAGGGAACTTGGGATGCTGGGCAGATTTTATGAGCCCAACAACAAACCTTGTAACTAGGAAAGTGGCAGGGTGGCATTCAAAAGGAGAACAACTGCTCAGCTTTCGAGTTAAGTGTCTTTAGTCATGATGACAGAACATGGATTATGATTTTGCAATTCAAGTGATGTAATATGTTAATGCAAGGTTAGAAGCTCCAATTGTACACAATATGACTGGACACAACTTATTTTTCTCACATTGCTAAAATGCTTCATCTTAGAACACTAATAAAATGTTTTCGCATACTTGTTTCACACATTATTTGTAAATGAACAGCCAAATGAATTACTGCGTTTGAAAACAAAGATCAAAATGCAAATACTGCCATCATGAGGCAAATCTGTCAAACTGCACCCTCACCAGCCTCTTCAATTTAACTCAAAACATCAACTTAGCTGATATGACGACAAAATTCATCATGTTAATTGTGATGATATGAACATTCTCTAAGCAATTTGGCAGCACGGTGGCTCAGAGGTTAGCACTGCTGCCTCACAGCACCAGGGACCAGGGTTTGATTTCAGTCTTGGGTGATGGTTGTTGATTTGATTTATTGTTGTCACATATATCTAAGTACAGTGAAAAGGTTTGGTTTGTATACAGTGCAGGCAGACCATAACATACAAAGATCACAGGGTGATTGAACAGCAGGGGATAAAAAATTTACGGCTACCAAAGGTGCTCAACAAATAAGATCAACATTAGATTTGAAATTTGAGGTCCATTAAGAAGTCTAACAACAGCAGGGAAGCTATTCTTGAACCTGTTGGTACATGTGTTTGAAGTTTTGTATCTTCTGCCTGACAGAAGAGGTTGGAGGGATTATAACCACAGTGGGAGGAGCCTTTCATAATGTTGGTTACCTTTCCAAAGCATCAAGAAGCGTAGATGGAAGGTTGGCTTGCGTGATAGACTGGGTTGTGTTTACAACTTTCTGTAGTTTCTTATAGTCCTGAGTAAAGCAGTTGCTGTACCAAGCCATGATGTATCCAGATAGAATGCTTTCTATGGTATCTATAAACTATGTGAGTTTGCATGTTCTCCCCCTGTCTGCATAGGTTTCCTTCGGGTGTTCCAATTTCCACCCACAGTCCACAGATTAGGTGGGTTAGCCATGGTTAAAATCCCCATGTGGAAGTATGGGGATGGTGTGGGTCTGGGTGCGTTGCTCCTGAGTCAGTGCATACTTGAGTGGCTGAATGGCATCTTTCTGCACAGTAGGGATTCCATGATTCTAAGGTGACACTTTACAACTTAAGTACTGGGCTGCAAAAACCATTTTTGTCCACACATAATTGCAACACTTGTACATTGTAAGTAATGCAGCTTTTGCTAGAATAATTAAAGTGGAAGAATTTCACATTAACTGTGTCCTTATATTTTCACTCATCCA